TTCGCCTCCATCGTCACCGGCGTCGAGCAGGGTGCGGCACTGGGGGCACTGGGGGCACCAGGGGCACCTGGGCAGCACCTGAGGTGTCCCCACGCTTCTCCCCTCCCTCCCCAGGTCGCCTCATCTTCGACAACCTGAAGAAGTCGATCGCTTACACCTTGACCAAGAACATACCTGAGCTGGCACCTTACCTGGTCTACATCATCGCCAGCATCCCCCTGCCCTTGGGCTGCATCACCATCCTCTTCATCGAGCTCTGCACGGACATCGTGAGTCCACCTGGGCTCACCTGGGGCACCTGGGAACTCCCAACCCCGAGTTCCTCCCCTCATGGTTGAGGTTCCTCGGGCAGGGCTGACGCTCTACCTGTGGGCGTTGACTTCGGGCTCACCTGTGTCCCCAGTTCCCATCGGTGTCGTTGGCCTACGAGAGCGCCGAGAGCGACATTATGCACCTGAGGCCACGTGACCCTCGGCGCGATCGCCTGGTCAACGAGCCCCTGGCGGCCTACTCCTACTTCCAGATAGGTACGGCTCACCTGGGCACACCTGGGCACACCTGGGGCACACCTGGGGGTCTGGGGCCACAGACACCTGTGCCCCTCACATCCCTGTCCTCACACCTGTGCCCTCACCTGTGCGCAGGTGTGATGCAATCCTTCGCTGGCTTCACGGATTACTTGGTGGCCATGGCCCAGGAGGGTTGGTGGCCTGACCTGGTCCTGGGGCTGCGGCCCAGGTGGGAGGACACTCACCTGCAGGACCTGCAGGACAGCTACGGCCAGCAGTGGGTGAGTCACCAACAGGTGTCCCACCTGGACACACCTACACCTGTGTCCTCTCACACAGTCCCTGGACACCCCAACACCTGGACACAGGTGTCCCCTCACTTCCCTGTGTCTCACCTGTGTCTCACCTGTGTCTCACCTGTGCAGACGTTCGCCCAGCGCAGGTACCAACAGTACACCTGTTACACCGTGTTCTTCATCAGCATCGAGATGTGCCAAATCGCCGACGTGCTCATCCGCAAGACTCGCAGGCTCTCGCTGCTCCAGCAGGGGCTGCTCAGGAACACCTGGGGGCAGGTGTTACAGGGACTCTGTGTACCTGTGCAGTGTTACAGGGGGTGGAGGTACCTGTAGGCTCTCTGCTCCAGCAGGGGCTGCTCAGGAACACCTGGGGGCAGGTGTTACAGGGACTCTGTGTACCTGTGCAGTGTTACAGGGGGTGGAGGTACCTGTAGGCTCTCTGCTCCAGCAGGGGCTGCTCAGGAACACCTGGGGGCAGGTGTTACAGGGACTCTGTGTACCTGTGCAGTGTTACAGGGGGTGGAGGTACCTGCAGGCTCTCTCTGCCCCAGTGGGGGGTGACAAGGGTTACCTGGACAGGTGTGTACAGGTGTTACAGGTTCTGAGAAGGTTCTGCAGGTGCTCCCAAGTGTCTCTAGGTGCCCCCCAGGTGTTTACAGGTGTGTGTCCCCCCACCCAGGAACCACATCCTGCTGGTGGCCATCGTGTTCCAGGTGTGCATCGGCTGCTTCCTCTGCTACTGCCCAGGGATGCCCAACGTCTTCAACTTCATGCCCATCAGGTGAGCTCACCTGGGGGCACACCTGGGAGGGTGTGTGCGAGGACACCTGGCCCTGCCCAGCTGTCACCTGGCAGGTGTGTGTGTGTCCCAGGTACCAGTGGTGGCTTGTGCCAATGCCCTTTGGCCTCCTCATCCTCATCTACGACGAGATCAGGAAACTCGGAGTCAGGAGACACCCGGGGAGTGAGTGCACACCTGGGCATACCTGGACGGGGTGCTGGGGGCACCTGGGGACACCTGGGACGTCCCCCATCATCACCTGTCTGTGCCTTCTCCCCACACAGGTTGGTGGGACCGAGAGCTTTACTACTGAGGGAAGGGAGACCCACCTGGGACACCCCCCAGGACCCCTCAAGACCCACCTGGGACCCCCCTCAAGACTCACCT